ATTTTACTACTCAGTGCTTATAAAATGATTTTATGAAAGTCATCAAATAATAAGCTACCATATTTGACTTTCTGGAAAAAATTACTTGGTTACATTAAAACCTAGAATCATCAGATTTGGGAATTTTGGTTTTATAGCTATATGTGAATCTTTTCTGCTCATATTACGTGTGAATTTTATCTGCTCGTGCCACAGTAAGGAAAAAAATAGGTTGAAATAAGAAGTCTAGATCCTCTGCAAATCTAACTCGTAGAGCCCCACCCCTATTGTCAGCCTGGGAGTCTCTGGGCAGTGGTCACCTGATGAGGTGCCCCCTTGTTTCTCTTTGGGGTTCTCAGGGAGGTGAGTCTGGGGCGGGTTAGGTAGGCAGAGAGGAGGCTCAGGTGGAGTCAGAAACCAAGGTAAAAACCCTGAAAGTGTTCTGAGGGGACTACCTGCTCAGACCAAGGGACCCCATGGAGTTCCATTTCTGTTGTCAGTCCTGGGTAGGCCCAGGCAGGGGTGGCATCCTTTCTGTGTCAGAGCGAGAGGCCCCCTCAGCCCTCACTCTGGATAATCATCCAGATTCCAGGCACATTCTCCTCTGCTGACCTGAGGGCCGCCACTCAGACCAAGGCCCACACCTCCCTGAGACCCCTGAGGAGGAATTGAGGGAATATGACTTCTGGCTCCCTCTGCCCAGGACCTCCAGGACTGCCCACGGTAAGGACCCTTTCTCTGATGTGACAAACTAGAATCAACAAGATATTTAATGAACATTCTACGTTTCCTACTGTCCACAGGCATCTGGTATTATTGAGGATTGGAACAGGCTTCTAAAAATTGGCTTGAAAAGGCTTGAAAATGAACAACTCGATTAACACATAGGTGAAGGATCTGAACAGACACCTCATCAAAGAAGTTATACAGATGGCAAATAAGCATGTGAAAAGATATTCCATATCATATGTCATCAGAGAAATGATAATTAAAACAATAATGAGATACTGCTACATACCTATTTGAATAGCGGAAGCCCAAAACACAGCACCAAATGCTGGCAAGGTTGTGGAGCAACAGGAACTCTCATCTGTTGCTGGTGGAAATGCAAATGGTACAGCCACTTTAGAAGAGAGTTTGGCAGTTTCTTACAAAACTACACATACCTTTCCATATGATCCAGCAGTTGCACTCCTTGGTATTTACCCAAGGAAGCTGAAAACTTACGTCCACACAGAAACTTGCACACGGATGTTTATAGCAGCTTTAGTCATAATGGTCATAACTTGGAAGCAACCAAGATGTCCCTCAGTAGGTGAATGGATGAGTAACCAGTGGTACATCTAGACAGCAGAATATAATTTAGCACTAAAGGGAAATAAGCTATCAAGCTATGAAAAAAATTGGAGGAACCTTAAATGTGTATTACTAAGTAAAAGCCAATCTGAAAAGGCTACATGCTGTATGATTTCAAGTATATGACATTCTGGAAAAGGCAAAACTGGTAACAATAAAAAGATCAATGGTTGCCAGAGGTTAGGGAAAAGGGAGGGATGAATAGGTGGAACACATGATTTTCAGAGCGGTGTTAGTATTAGTCTATGTAATACTAAAATGATGGGTACATGTCTAAACCCATAGAATGTATAGTAGTAGCAAGAGTGAGCTGTAATGTAAATGTGAACTTCCAGTGATAATGATGTGTAGGTCCATTGATTATAACAAATGTACCTCTCTGGTTTGGGATGTTGATGGTGGGGGAGGCTCTGCATGTTTGGGGACAGGGAGTATATGAAAACTCTTTGTATTTCCTGCTCAATTTTGCTGTGAACCTAAAACTGCTATAAAAATAAAGTCTATTGTGTGTGTGTGTATCATAGATATGTATATGTATGTATGTATATGTATATAAAATGACATCCAATGCTACTTTCTTTGACTTTTCCTGGTTCACATACCTGAGTAAGGCAATTTGGTCAGTGAATGCAGCTGTCCCTCTGTGGGTCAGATGCTCAGTTTTGACAAGCAGTCAGTAGCATGCTAAGAACTAATTGGTTTTTAAAACCTGTTAGCCCTGTTTGGGAGGTGAAGAGTTCAAAACTCTGAGAAACACTTCTGGGTGAAGGCTGACTTCCATTGTCCAAGGCTGCAAATAGCAAAATCATCAGTTACAGTGACTTGGAGCTCAAAGGGGCCATTAGGACTGTGGAGCACAAAGGTGGAGCAGACGAGGCTCAGAGTAGGCACTTTGAGAGTCATGAGATAAGGCTAGAGAGGTAAATAGGATCTTGATATTTTCCAGAGTCTGATAGCCAGTGTTCAAGGTTAGGGGTTTTATTCTAATGGCATTGAGAAACCACCAGTGGATGTTAACTAGTGGATAACGGATTGGAGGATGGGAGGATAGAAAAGATGTGTGGATAACAGATTGGAGGATGGGAGGGTAGAAAAGAGAGTCAGAATGGTTGTACCAAGACCAGTGGGATTCAGTGTGACAATGGTATCAATATGGATGGGTAGACATTGGTGGATTTGAAATAAATTGTGGAGGTGAGTAAAAATGTCTTAGTGATGCATCTGATGTAGAAATTTTAAGAGATGGTGTTGTTAAGGATGATCCTAAAGTTTCAGTCATTAGGGTGCTCGACAGATATATGGAGCTGGGGAAAACCAGTATCAAATTTGGTGTGAGAACTCAAGTATTGGGTTTGAATTTCTGTGAGACAGCCAAGTGAAAACATTGAGTAGGTGTATATGGATTGGATATAAATGTTGGGATGAGAAAGTTAAATTTAGGAGTCAGCAACAAATCGATGATATTTGAAGCCATGATAAATCATTAGGAGAAACATGTATTTGAGAAGATAAAGGGGACTAAGGGCTGAACCCTGATGAGCTCCATGTTTAAAGGTTGAGTAGAGCAGGAGAGGTTTAGTGGAAGACTGAGAGGGGCCACTTAGGCAGGAGGATGGTCAGGAAGATGTGCTGTCAGAGCCAGAACAAGAGATGATCTCAAGTGTACTGAAGACCATGTGTACTGAGAGGTTAACCCGCATGCTCTTTGTCCCAAATTTGAAATGAAAATGTGTTTCACAGTTACAGAAAGTACTTGTCTTGAACATGAATGAATCCACCTTTATATTTTATTTACTGGTAGGTAATTTTTAATTATTAAAATTGTAAGTATCATGGACTTTATAAAAATTTATTTATATGAATATACATATGCACACATACAGACTCCCTGGGTTTGTGTAGGAATTATTGAGAATAGCTAGTGAAAGCAAGCTTTTTCGTTGCAGGTAAGCCTTAAGTTATCTTATTTTAATTGGGGTGAACATTTATTAATGCATTTTTGCACGTTTTATTTCTTTCCTTAAATTGTGGTAAAATATACCTAACAAAATTTACCGTTTTAACCATTTTAAGTATACAATTCAGTGGCATTAAGGTGCATTTACATTGTTGTTCACACATCACCATCAATCTCCAGAATGTTTTTCATCTTCCAAAACAGAAACTCTATACTCATTAAACAGTAACCCACCCAGTGCCCCATCCTTCCAGCCCCTGGCAACCATCATTCTACTTTACATCTCTATGAATTTGACGACTCCACTCTAGGTACCTTATATAAGCATAATCATACAGTGTTTGCCCTTTTGTGACTGGCTTATTTCACTTAGCATAATGTCCTTAAGGTTTATCCATGTTGTATCTATCATGTCTCAGAATCTCCTTCCTTTTTAAGGCTGAATAATATTCCATTGTTTGTATACACCACATTTTGTTTATCTCTTCATCTGTTGATAGACTCTGGTTGCGGGGCTATTGTAAATAATGCTACTATGAACATGGGTGTACTAGTATCTGCTTGAGTCTCTGCTTTCAATTCTTTGGGTATATGACATATATCCAGAAGTGGAATTGCTAAATCATATGGTAATTCTATTTTTAATTTCTTTAGGAACTGCTATATATTGTTTTCATGGAGGCTTTATCGTTTGTCATTCCCATCAACACTGCAGAACTGTTCCAGTTTCTCCACATCCCCGCCAACATTTGCTATTTTCTGGGCAGAGTTGGGGGTTGGTTTTTGATAGCAGTCATCCTAATAGATGTGAGGTGGTACCTCTTTGTGGCTTTGATTTATATTTCCATAATGATTAATAATGTTCAACATCTTTTTGTGTCCTTTTGGCTATTGCGTATCTTTGCTGGAGAAATGTCACCTCTGAAAGCAGTAACTTTAGATTTTATTCTGATAAAATGCATATGTCTTAATATACTTTCAGAATATCACCAATTTTTGGTTCTCCTATTTTCTTGAACAAATTGCTTTATTTGGAATCTAACACATACTCAAAGACATAGAGAAAATAATACCAAATTATGCTTTTGAAAAACGTGCCCTATATTGTTTAAAAAGTAAAATGAAAAGCAGGGAAATTTTAACATTTGTGTTTCAAGTCACTTCTTTTCATTTTGTTTTTATATAAATTAGTAAATGCATTTTTATTGTTCTTTAAAGTTATTCTACAAATCTACCTAAAAACCTTACTGAATCTTTCATTAAAATGTCTGATCAGTCAGTAAAGATGACTTTAAAGAGTCAAACCTCTAAGGAAGGTGGTTTCTGGGTAAAAATCATATGAAAGAGCATTTAGTTTCATTTTCACAGTGGTTTTCTTTTGTAGCTTTTCATAAGGAGTGGTTAAATAATTGTAAGTTTTTTGCATATAGTGTATTCACACACCACACACACACACACAGACCATTTGAGTTCATCTACTTAAAATTCTTTTAGAAACCAAGTCACAGAGAAGTTAATGTCATAGTCTAAGTTAACACAGCTTGTTTGCACAGAGTTGGGACTGAGAAAATACCTTGTTTCAGTTCATTACCAGAATCCTGTAGCATTTTATAAGCAGATTAATTTCTTCAAATAAATATTTTAATTGGCTCTCTGCTTGCTTGTTTTTTTTTTTAACAGAAATATGTCTACCTGTTTTCTTTAACAGTTATTTCGAGAAGTACGAATAATGAAGATACTGAATCATCCTAATATAGGTATGAAATATATATATAAAATCAGCAATGAAGTGTTTTCCTTAATTTGAGGGTATTTGAAAAGACACAATTTTTTTTTTTTTTTTTTTTTTTTTTT